TAACAACAGTTATAATAAATAACAAGTTTTATTAAATAACAACAGTTTTAATTAATAACAACAGTTATAATAAATAACAACTGTTTTATTAAATAACAACAGTTATAATAAATAATAACAGTTTTAATTAATAACAACAGTTATAATAAATAACAACAGTTTTAATAAATAACAACAGTTTTAATTAATAACAACAGTTATAATAAATAACACGTTTTTTTAAATAACAACAGTTATAATTAATAACAACAGTTATAATAATAACAACAGTTATAATAAACAACAACAGTTATAATAAGTAACAACAGTTATAATAAATAACAACAGTTTTATTAAATAGCAACAGTTATAATTAATAACAACAGTTATAATAAATAACAACTGTTTTATTAAATAACATCAGTTATAATAAATAACAACAGTTTTATTAAATAACAATAGTTATAATAAATAACAACAGTTTTAATTAGTAACAACAGTTATAATAAATAACAACAGTTATAATTAATAACAATAGTTATAATATATAACAACAGTTATAATACATAACAACTGTTTTAATAAATAACAACAGTTATAATAAATAACAACAATTTTATTAAATAACAACAGTTATTATTAATAACAACAGTTTTAATAAATAACAACTGTTATAATAAATAACAACAGTTATATTTGTAGATGAACATATGCTGTGATATATTCATAAATTAAACGGATTCATTCATTTTTCTGGACTGAATAATGTTGTGCATTTAATTATTAAAAATGTAACGTGAGGCGTTAATTTCCTTTGACCCATCAAAATGAACGTGGTCATTTATTTTCAGAATCAAAATTTAACATCACACATTTACATTAATTTGGCAAATTGAAAAATAACAACATGGCTTAGTTAGCTAGTTTTACAAGGAGGAAACCATACGGCGATGGTTTCCCTTGCTTCCAGCTGTACAACAGACATTTCTAAAAATATCTGGAATGATTTCTAGCAGATAGAAGAGTTTAAAGATGGAAAATGAAGTTTAGAGGGAGGGAAATGGTGTGTGAGTGAAAGTGTTGAACAGAATGGCACCCTCCATTCGAACCCAGCTTTCCTCGGTACGCTCGGTAGTAAACTCGACTCATTACCTCTCTGACGATGAATCAGTGGAAACGGAGTTCCAGTTCACGCTACCGGTCCAGCGTCTCTGTAGGATGGCAGATAACCGTCCGGAGTGGTGGCAGGACTTCATCAACAACAGTTCACCTCACGGGTGGACTCGCATGAGTGGAGTCCGTCAGAAGTTCCACTCAGATGTGGAAGATTGCATAATTCCCACAAGACTCGAAAGAGCTCTGGATCATGCCTGGACTTCTGTTCTCCCAGCACTTCTTCCGTTCGGTTCTGCTCCCAGAACTGAACTCGACTGCACTCGACTGGAGCTGCAAACGACTGAAGCTGGTTTGAACTAGGAAGTACCGACATTTAAAGAGTTCTATTTCCGGTTCATTTGGGAGGTTCCTGATTGGTCAATTCGACCAAACAGAGGTGTGTTTTTGTGATGTAAGAGGTTATTAAAAGTCAAGGAAAAAGATTGAGTTGTTTAAGAACAGACAGAAGATTGCTATGAAGATTCCAGACTTCGTGGAGTCAATTCTCTAGTATCTTTCTGTAAAAGTTAAACATGACATTTCTTTTTCAGTAAACTTGCAGTTGACCGAAACTTGACCTTTGACCAACTTACACAATTTGCTCATTGAAGACAGAAAATCAGACAATGCATCATTAACCTGATTTCTACTTTGAATGAGGATTAAAATCACTAATACTGTTTCACAGTTGATTTAAAAATGAGTAGTTCACTTCAACATTTGAAAATGGTTTGAACTAAACACAATTTGATTATCAAGACATTTGTAAGATAGTAATGATAATAGAAAAAGAGAGTGTTCTTTCAATTGATCAGTGCAGGACACTTAGAAAGTCTATGGATGAACTTAATATTGTGTTTCTGGACTCAAATCAATGAAATAACAATTCTTGTTCCAGGCAGGCTCTCAAGGCCAGATTTTGACCTGAGGCTTAGTTCACTACATATTAAATAACAACAGTTATAATAAATAACAACAGTTTTAATAAATAACAACAGTTATATTAAATAACAACAGTTATAATAAATATAACAACAGTTATATTAAATAACAACAGTTATAATAAACAACAACAGTTTTAATAAATAACAACAGTTATAATAAATAATAGTTTTAATAAATAACAGTTATAATAAATATAACAACAGTTATAATAAATAACAACAGTTATAATAAATAACAACAGTTATAATAAGTAACAACAGTTATAATAAATATAACAACAGTTATAATAAATAACAACAGTTATAATAAATGGCAGAGAGCTGAGTGTTTTTGTGCTGATCACTCTTTTTCAGCATGAAGGAGCAAAACTAATCAAATCCAGGCTCCAAAGAGAGGTTGGTGTCTTGACCAGTTTGAAGGTAACTGTGATCATGCAGATGCTGCATGCTCAATGAATGCAGCTGAGCCCTGCCTCAGGGTTGCCAGATAAATTTAAAATGTCTTATCTACCCCCTCCTTTTCTGTGCACATGTTCAACAAACACAACATTCATTTCCTCTTTGAACATCTTTACTCAGTACAAATGACAGTTTAGGTGAAAATACTATAATTTTAAAGTGACTGTACTACAATTTATAATGGCTTATCTGGCAACCTGACTGATATGGAAACTACATTAGTCCCTCATTTATTGTGGGTGTTAGGTTCTAGACACCCCCGACGCACAATAAGAGAAAATCTGCAAAGTAGCAAACATGATATTTATTTTAGTATTTATAAATATTCTAAAGCTTTAGAAACACTTCCCACACATATGCAATGTTCTAAGCTTTTTAACCTACATCATTTTACCAACATACGTACAGTACATGTAGCTACTAAATTTTACCCACCAGCTCTGTAGAACAGGAGCAACAGCTTTCGGGTCCAGACCGTCTCAGTTTCATTTCTGCAGCTGTACCCTGCAGCAACGAAGTCCACAATCCATGTTCTAAACTCTTAAACCTACATCATTTTACCAACATACTTATATGTAGCTACTAAATTTTACTTACCAGCATGTCCCGCTCAGAAGTCCTTGTGGGCCGGCTACCAGCTCGCAAGATTTACAAATGGGTCTGGAGGTCTAGTTCTGCTCCTGTTCTGGTCTGGTTTGATGGGTTACATGTGGCTCTATACAGCCACTGGGCACCGAAGTCACTGTAATAGGCGCCAGATATTTTCTGATCAGATCAAAACTTTCCCTCTAGTATTTCAGCAGAAGGAAATGGGGCTTCTGGGTGGAGCACTGTTGGCTTCTGGGAAATGTAGTCATTATGAGTGGGAATACAGAGTAGGCTTATTGACAGAAAACTACAAAATGGCGGTGTCTGTCCGAAGTATTTTATTTCTTCATTAACCTTGTACTGTACAGTACTGTCCCAATCACGTGAGTGATATTAAAGTTGACAATCATGGGTCCTGTGTGTGTGTGTATATATATATATATATATATATATATATATATATATATATATATATATATATATATATATATATACTTTGTACATATAATTTTTTAATATATACCTTGTACATATAATTTTTCAATATATATATATACTTTGTACATATAATTTTTTATATGTTAATGTGCGTTGACAAACCGTCATATAGTGAGTCCACGAAAGTTGAACCGTGAAGTAGCGAGGACTACTGTATAACATTTTTCTTGTTAACATGCTCATATTTTGTTTATAAATAAAAAACAATAAACCCCAATAAACATTGAAAAAACACTAACGTTTCCAGAGGTTGTTCTCGTGTAAACGGGGTCTCATCCTAAGGATGTTTTAACAAATATTAATGTTGGGTTCATGTTAATGTTCAGCTGCTTGAGCTTACAGATGTGCTCTTTTTTTCTTGTCAGGTAACTTTGAAGACAAGGTTTTGTAAGAGAAACATAAAATGACTGAAGTCATTGAACAAAATGTAACACTGCAAAAAAAAAGAGTTTTACTTTAAGATTGCAACTTAAATTTACTTTGGAAAGAATTGTATAAATGTTCGGTGTGAATCAAGAAAAGAAGAAAAGCTGCAACGCCTTGAGCTAATGTTTGTTCACTGTTTTAATGGTTGTTGTTCCCACAGATGACGATAAGTTTAGTGAAGCCACGGCCGTGCTGTTCACCTGGATCGAACGGGGCGAAGTCAACCGCAGGACCTCCAACCACTTCTACTCCATGATCCAGTCAGCCAACAGCCATGTTCGCCGGCTGATGAGCGAGAAAGCTCTGCACGAGGAGGAAATGGAGCGCGCCAAAGAGGCCTTCAAGAACGCCCTGCTGTCCATTTTAACACAGTGTAAGGACACTTTTTAAACACTTTCAGTCACAGTGAGACGTTTCAGGCAGACTGATGCTCCAGATGTGCGACGCCTTCGTTGTAATAACTGGAACTGTACAGTTATACTGGTAAGTCTGAGCAGTGTCTCTGCATGTTGTCCAACAAGCTTGTTGACAGCTGCACATTAAACTCAACAAGTACCGTAGTTTAATATTTAATAAGAAATAATTTACAGTCACACAACTGTAGCAGGACATTTGACAAGTATTAAATATATCTTCTCAAACTAACAGAAGAAATGTGTTGAACGAGGAGCAATTTGTCTGGATTATTATTTAGAGAAGATTACACTGTAGGAAAATTGAAACAAAAAGGTGTAAGACACACGAACAATATTTCTTCAAATGCAATAAGTGTAACATTTAAAGTGATGTATGATTTTCCACATTATTACCACAAAAGCAACATTTACCTACAAACTAATTCCCAACCAAACAGCTATATATTGTAACGCCTTCTCTATTCATGCGTTGTAATTTATGCTCGGATGACTCGTTAAAGGAGGGGCGTTTTTATTTTTAATCTGCTCCACAGCCATCCAAACAAAGACAACAACAACATTTTTCCCAGGCGTTTCCCTCCTCATAAACAGACCCCTCACTTTTTTTATGAACTGCTGTAGGAGCATGAATATAGAAATGTCATTGGAACAGTCCAACTACTGAACATGCTAAAATATATATATTAAAAAATAAATAAAACCGAATATCGCCCATGGCACGATGGGTCAGTTGATAAAACTACTGCCTCTAGGTGAGAAGGTTGATGGTTCAAATCCCAGCCAGGGCCTTTCTGGGTGGAGTTTGTATGTTCTGTCCGTGCATGAGTGGGTTTTCTCCAGGTACTCCAGTTTCCTCCCACAGACCAAAAACATGCATGTTAGACTGATTGGTAACTCTAAATTGTTCCCAGGTGACAGAGAGAATGGTTGTTTGACTCTATGTGTCCCTGTGATGGACTGGAGACCTGTCAAGGTGTCCCTGTGATGGACTGGAGACCTGTCCAGGTGTCCCTGTGATGGACTGGAGACCTGTCTGATTGTCCCCCGCCTCTTGCACAGTGACTGCTGGACCTGGGCACCAGTGACCCCCGCGACCCAGAAAGGAAGAAGTTGTTTTAAAATAATGATTAAATACAAAAGGCTGACTGGATGAATGGATGATGGATGGTAGATAGAGATATAGTTTATTAATCCACGGGGGAACATCTGAGGCATCCAGTAGCATGTTCTAACTATACAGAAGAAGAAAAAAAACACATGAAATAATAAAAGAGAAGCAGAATACACAAATTTGGAAAAGATAATATGCACATGAACAAAGTGGTAGGGAGTACTACAGTCATGATAAACATATATATGTATATATATATATATATATATATATATATATATATATATATATATATATATATATATACATATATACATACATACACATCTAAGCATACATATTCATATACATATGTACATGTAGACATACATAGATACATACTCATAAATAAGTGCCCAGGGTGCTGCAGATTTACACGGCTCTATTTTTACTGTATGGGGAGGAGTTGAAAAGTCTGATGTCCTGAGGGACAAAGGACTTCCTGGATGTGTCCGTGGAGCAGGGCTGGACAGCAGTCTACCGCTGAAGGAGCTCCTCTGCTTCATGATGGTGCCGTGCAGAGGATGGTCAGCATTGTGCATGATGAATAGTAGCTTACCGAGGGCCCTTTTCTCTGCCACTGATGTTAATTGGGACTCCACAGTTTTGTTCCCAGCACAGAACCAGTTTTCTTCACCAGCCTGTCAAGTCGCCCTGCATCTCCCCTCTTAATGCTGCCTCCCCAACACACAACAGAAGAGAACACTGGCTACCACAGACTGGTAGAACATCAGCAGTATTTTCCTGCAGATACTGAAGGACCCAAGCCTCCTCCGGAAGTACAGCCTGCTCTGACCCTTCCTGTAGAGGGAGTCCGTGTTCATTGACCAGTCCAGCCTGTCATCCAGTTGTATGCCCAGATATATGTAGGTCTGGACCACCTCCACATCAACCCCCTTAATTGAGACTGGCATCAGGGTAGGCCCAGATCTTCTGAAGTCCACTGTCATTTCCTTTGTCTGTTCAGCTGTAGATGGTTGGATATGCACCACAATACAAAGTCCTCAACCAGGGTCCTATACTCCCGCTTCTGTCCATCCTGCACATACCCACGATTGCAGTGTCATGTGCAGTACTTCTGCATGAGGCAAGTGTCTGAGTTATAACTGAAGTCAGATGTGTACAAGGTGAACAGAACTGGAGAGAGCACGGTCCCCTGCAGTGCTCCTGTGCTGCTAACCACTGTGTCGGAGATGCAGTCCCTGATCCTGGCATGTTGTGGTCTCTCAGTGAGACAGTTTGTAATCCAGGAGACCACGTGTGTGTCCACCTCATCTCCTCAAGCTTGTCTCAGTAGCAGGGGCTGGATAGTGTTGAAGACACTGGAGAAGTCGAAAAACATGACCCTCACAGCACTGTTTCCATTGTCTAGGTGAGAGTGAGCCCTGTGCATGAGGTAAAGAATGGCACCATCCACCCTCACCTGCTCCCAGTACCAGTATGAGAACAGTAGAGGGTCCTTAGCGTGGTAAACCTGATGTCTAAGGAGTTTCAGCAGCAGTCGCTCCAGGGTTGGATGGACAGATGTATGTATGTATGTATGTATGTATGTATGTATGTATGTATGTATG